AAAGGGGAAAATCAAAGGTCAAAAGGGATTTGGGAAGAAATTTTTCAGAAGGGTTTTGGGGGAATGGATAGCCTGAGGAAGAGTGAGGAGGAACCATACAAGTTTTAAAAAAAGGGGTTTGGGGACAAAAGTGGGAAAGCAGAGAGGGGGAAGGCCCCAAGTACATGTGAAGAAGGGCCAGGGCTGAATCCGACCCTGAAACACAATTAGGCGGAAATAAAATTTTTTAAGGGAGTACACAAACCAACACAACAAAAACACCAACACATAAACACCAACAATCCACCCCCCCCCCCCAAAATAACAAATTACCCACACAACCACACACCCCCACATCACCACACACACCACACACAACCACACACAACCACACACATACCACACACCACCACACACACACCAACACACACACCACACAACACCACACACCCCACACACCCACACCCACAAAACCCACACACACAACCCCAAAACACCACACCCACACACCACAACACACCACACAAAACCACACACACCACACACACCCCACACACACACCACACACACACCCCACCACACACACACCACACACACCCCACACACCACCCACACACAACACCACACCCACAACACACCACCCCACACACACACCACACACCAACACACCCCACACAAAAACACACACCACACACACACACACCACACACCCCACACACACACCACACACACACCACACACACACACCACACCACACACACACACACACACACACCACACACCACACAAAACACACACACCACACACACACACCACCCCACCACACCACACACCACCACACACAAAAACACCAACACCAACACCACACACACACAACCACACACACACACCACCACACACCACACACACACCACACCACACACCCACACACACACACCACACACACACACCACACACACACACCACACACACCACACACACACACACACACCACACACACCCCACACACACACACCACACACACACACCACAACACACACACACACACACACACACACACAACACACACACACACACACCACACACACACACACACACACCACACTCACACACACACCCACCACACACACACCACACACCCCACACACACCACACACACACCACACACACACACAACACACACACACCCCCACAACACCCCCACACACACACACACCACACCACACCACACACACACACACACAAAACACCCCCCACACCCACACCCCACACCCCACACAACACCACACCACCACACACACACACACACACACACACACACCCACACACACACGCCAAAACACATGCCACACACGCACACACACACACACACATATGCATACATTTTATACTTACTATATGACTTCAATAATTCATGCTTAAAAACTGATAATACATATACCAATAGGTAAATAAAAAAAGTGCCATAAGTATTTTAATAAGAATGGGTTACCTTGTGCATCCTGCTCTCCAGTTTATCCAGAACAAAATAAACACACACTAAGAGAATGATTTACTAAGTCTCTCCTCTTCATTTATGTTTAGTCTTACCATCTACTCACAATACTAACTTTTTTTAATAAGTCCTAACAAAACTCCTTGAATTACACTATATTTCACATTTATTTGAAGCTGTTAATTAACTTGATTAAAAATTAACCAAGCTTTCTTCTTCTTCCTGTCTTGGTAATGCAGTAAAGGGGAAAAGGAAAAGATAAATCAACAGAAAAAGGAAGTGCATCAAACAGATTTAACTAATAAAGAGAGATATGCCAGAATAATGGAAGTGCCAGAAAATTCTGTTATTGTTGAGGAAGAAGATGCAAAGTGTGAGAGAACAGTTTTTATGTCAAAAGAGCAAGACAGAAAAAGGAACTCTGGTGTTGGGAGAGCAGACTCTTTAGAAGAAGATGATAAATATGTTAAAAGTAGCTGCAATGTTAAAGATAATCTCAAAAATAACTCTAGCAAGTATCAAAATAATTGTGAAGAAGAAAGTGACAATGAAATTTTAAATGAACTTCAATATAATTGTGAAAGTGAAGAAGATTTTGATATACCAACAGAGGAGAATTTTCTTAAATCTTCGACATCTGTGAGTGGCGATGATGAGACTATGGAACAGAGCTTTGGTCGACCACGATCTGTTCATTTTGAAGATGAAAAGTGGGAAGAAGGGAAGTATAAAGTAAAGGAGCAAATTGAATATATTAATTCATGGGGAGATGTTACTAATCAGCAAGAATCTCATCCTTTTGCCAGAATAGAGAGGGATTTTGAGGTGAATGGAGAATTGCCATTTTCAGGTTCTAGCAGATTACAAAATATAAAAAGTGCTAATAGAGAGAGTGTTAGGGAGATTCTCCGACGTAAGAGAGAGGAAGCTAGCGAATATTATGATCAGGATAACAGAAGACGGCTATCAAATGAAAGAAAAAGTGAAGCAAGTATTCCACATTTACCACATGAAAGAAAACAGTCAAGATCAAGAGAAAGACAACAGAAAGATTTAAATATTAATAATAGAGGAAGTGATGGAAGAACTAGAAATACTTCTAATATAATTAATGGTGTAGACTCTGATAAAAAAGAACACATGTCACGCTCAAGGAGTCCAAAGAGTGAAAATAGATATACTAAAGGTGTGACACTTATGCCAGTGAATGGAATTGAAAATGGTGATGGGATTGTTATCTCAAGAAAAGACTATGTCATGTTTAAATCACTAATAAGCTCTCGGAATACAGCAAGTGAGAAAGCTACCAAAGAACACAGGAAGGCTACTGGCAAAATGAAGAAGCTATTGCCTTCAAAGTCAGGAAGCCAGAAAAGGTATAGTTTTGAAATTATCTAAACCAAGCATCAGTTATATACTGATGTAATATGTGGCTTTTATTTCTTTTTTTACTTTTCTAACTTAGCTTTGTGTGACTGTTGCATGTTGTGCTCTGCCAGCAGATATGTTTGGAAGACAGGATATTTTTATGCATAGTAACAAACACAAATGTTTATTCTTTACTTTAATTAATAGTTTTTCAGTTACATTTTTAATTCATAAAACTTTCCTGGATTCCTCTGGCTAAATCTAAACCAAATTTTTTTTATTATCACGGGTAAATATACAATAGTATTTTATTATTTTTAGGCTTAATATAATATTTGCAATAGTATCCTGAGCATGGACATGAAAAACCTCGTAACTTACATTTTTCTTGTGCAAGTACTGTACTGTATATTCAAAGTGTAGTAACCTTCTTTAGCTTTGTTTTAAGCTGCACGTCTAATCTTACTTCAATCATACAAGACATTGTCGGCTGAGGTTGATGGACTTTTTCTATTAAGCTTCCTTTCCACGTTCTGAATATGTTGTTAGCATCATCTCTGACAGGATTATCCTCCCTTGGCAGAATTGGAGAATCTCCTTATGATCCCTTCTCGGCAGCAGAGCTACAGATGCAGGCACTGATGGGATCCTCCACTTCATCTACAAAGAAGGGGTCTAGCCTTGGGGCAGCAGCATTGGGAACGGGGGTATCTTTGGCAGACTCGGCAAGAATGAATGCAACTGGTAGAGAATCGCCTGATTTTGAGTTTAGCATTGGGTTTGCTGATTTGGATAAAAGTGAATGTAATTCAAGAGAGGGGTCCCCAGAAATTGAATTAAGAGAGAATAGGATAAATAAAGGATGTTCTGGTCTTGGTAGTAGCTTGACTAATTTAGATCTGGAGTTAGCAAAGATTGGTTCCCCATCACTTAGAAGATCCTCAGAGGGTAAAAGGTCATGGCAGTCATCAGTAAATAAGTCATTGTCTGTTGGGTCTGCATCTCCAGTATTGAGAAAACCATCATGGTCCACAAGGGATACCACATCGCAAGAAGTCAGTAAATGGTCCTCTCCAACACGAGATTCCCTTTCTCGGGAAGGTCTTTCTCCAGATTATAATAAGTGGTCTTCAACTCGTGATAATAATTCTAGGGATAACACATCCCCAGATAATCATTGGCCATTGGCTAACCATGATGCTCAGAGCGCTTCTACCCCTCTCCAAGATACTCACAATGCCTCTCCCAGTGCTCAAGACACTCGAAGTTGGTCTTCCCTTCTTTGTGATTCTCATAACCTCTATTCACCCACTAAAAACAACCATACCTGGTCTTCTTCAACTTTAGGTATTTGTAACTCTCTATCTCCTGCTCGTGATACTCGGGACTGGCCATCCCCATCACGTGAAACTTGTAGTGAATCTTCCCCCTCTCGTGCTACTGGTAGCTGCAGGTCCTCCCCTATTCGTGATACTCCTAGTATATCATCTCCCACTCATGAAAATATTAGCCGGTCATCGCCAGTGCGAGACACCCCTACTGCTGCTACCCCTTCATCCCCTACAACCAAGACCACCACAGCCAGGTTAGTCATTTACTAATTTTGGCTTATTTTACTGTTAAATATAATGTTCATATATCATATACATGTACTGGTAGAATGTATGCTACATAAAAATTATAAACGAAGAAATTACAATGAAATTAGTGCCATTTTATATAAATTTAACCAGGGAGAGTTTCAAGTACAGTGGACCCCCGGTTAACGATATTTTTTCACTCCAGAAGTAAGTTCAGGTGCCAGTACTGACCGAATTTGTTCCCATAAGGAATATTGTGAAGTAGATTAGTCCATTTCAGACCCCCAAACATACACGTACAAACGCACTTACATAAATACACTTACATAATTGGTCGCATTCGGAGGTAATCGTTATGCGGGGGTCCACTGTACAGTGTTTGAATACAATGAATAATGCTGTAGGTTTAAATCATCAGTGTTTGGTCATTATTCAGTATTTCAATGCTGTTAACTGTTTATTCAAATAGTAGTTAAAATTTTTAACAGAAATTATAACAGTGAGCATGCATAGTTCCTTTGTATAAAGGCAAAGGGGATAAAAGAGAGTGCAAAAATTATAGGGGGATAAGTCTGCTGAGTATACCTGGTAAAGTGTATGGTAGAGTTATTATTGAAAGAATTAAGAGTAAGACGGAGAATAGGATAGCAGATGAACAAGGAGGCTTTAGGAAAGGTAGGGTGTGTGTGGACCAGGTGTTTACAGTGAAACATATAAGTGAACAGTATTTAGATAAGGCTAAAGAGGTCTTTGTGGCATTTATGGATTTGGAAAAGGCGTATGACAGGGTGGATAGGGGGGCAATGTGGCAGATGTTGCAAGTGTATGGTGTAGGAGGTAGGTTACTGAAAGCAGTGAAGAGTTTTTACGAGGATAGTGAGGCTCAAGTTCGAGTATGTAGGAAGGAGGGAAATTATTTCCCAGTAAAAGTAGGCCTTAGACAAGGATGTGTGATGTCACCGTGGTTATTTAATATATTTATAGATGGGGTTGTAAGAGAAGTAAATGCGAGGGTCTTGGCAAGAGGCGTGGAGTTAACAGATAAAGAATCACACACAAAGTGGGAGTTGTCACAGCTGCTCTTTGCTGATGACACTGTGCTCTTGGGAGATTCTGAAGAGAAGTTGCAGAGATTGGTGGATGAATTTGGTAGGGTGTGCAAAAGAAGAAAATTAAAGGTGAATACAGGAAAGAGTAAGGTTATGAGGATCACAAAAAGATTAGGTGATGAAAGATTGAATATCAGATTGGAGGGAGAGAGTATGGAGGAGGTGAATGTATTCAGATATTTGGGAGTGGACGTGTCAGCGGATGGGTCTATGAAAGATTAGGTGAATCATAGAATTGATGAGGGGAAAAGAGTGAGTGGTGCACTTAGGAGTCTGTGGAGACAAAGAACTTTGTCCTTGGAGGCAAAGAGGGGAATGTATGAGAGTATAGTTTTACCAACGCTCTTATATGGGTGTGAAGCATGGGTGATGAATGTTGCAGCGAGAAGAAGGCTGGAGGCAGTGGAGATGTCATGTCTGAGGGCAATGTGTGGTGTGAATATAATGCAGAGAATTCGTAGTTTGGAAGTTAGGAGGAGGTGCGGGATTACCAAAACTGTTGTCCAGAGGGCTGAGGAAGGGTTGTTGAGGTGGTTCGGACATGTAGAGAGAATGGAGCGAAACAGAATGACTTCAAGAGTGTATCAGTCTGTAGTGGAAGGAAGGCGGGGTAGGGGTCGGCCTAGGAAAGGTTGGAGGGAGGGGGTAAAGGAGGTTTTATGTGCGAGGGGCTTGGACTTCCAGCAGGCATGCGTGAGTGTGTTTGATAGGAGTGAATGGAGACAAATGGTTTTTAATACTTGACGTGCTGTTGGAGTGTGAGCAAAGTAACATTTATGAAGGGGTTCAGGGAAACCGGCAGGCCGGACTTGAGTCCAGGAGATGGGAAGTACAGTGCCTGCACTCTGAAGGAGGGGTGTTAATGTTGCAGTTTAAAAACTGTAGTGTAAAGCACCCTTCTGGCAAGACATTGATGGAGTGAATGATGGTGAAAGTGTTTCTTTTTCGGGCCACCCTGCCTTGGTGGGAATCGGCCAGTGTGATAAAAAAAAAAAAAACACAAGCTTTACGTACTAAAGTGCTGCACAATTCTTGTGTCATACATAAGACAAATGGCTTAAAATAGTATTGCAGTTAGCAGTGTAAAAGAAGCGTAAACTTGGGTAGAAAATTATACTCTCTGATTTTAACATTAATTTAAGTACAGTATTAAAATTAAAAGAGGTAAACAGCCCAAATAGCCATGTGGGTATTCAGATTTTTTTATTTATAGCAAAAAATTAAAAACTATATACAGTGGAACCTCGGCTTACGAATTTAATCCGTTCTGTGGACTTGTTCGTATCCTGATTTGTTCGTATGCTGGGTGAATTTTCCTCATTTAACCCTTTGTGGGTCGACAGGTCCTCTCAGAGACTTGTTCTCAGGGTCGACCAAATTTCAAAAAAAAAAAAACAAAAAAAAAATTCTTATGAAAAGATAGAGAATCTTTTCCCGATCATAATGACACCAAAAGTATGAAATTTGATGGAAAACTTACGGAATTATGCTCTTGCGAAGTTAGCGGTCTCAACGATATTTACGCATCAGCGATTTTGCCACTTTGAACCCTATTTTCGGCCAATTCCAGTGTACTAGTCAACAAAAATCATAGCTATTTCGTTAAAACTCCATTTTTTCTATCGAATGAGTACAAGAAACCACCCATTTACCGATTTTAACTATCCAATAAAGTGGTCAGAATTTAGCAATTTTGCCAATTTCACACAAATTTCAAAAGATGCCAATTTCCGAATAGGGTCCAGAACAAACAAGAAAGACATTCCTGGCACTAAAATGACAAGTTCTCTGTTCGTTAGTCACATCCTCAGGCCTCTCTTATATTTCTTTGGCTTTTCACTTTGAATTTTTATTCTTACAAAAAAAAATAAGATTTACTGTTATGCAGACTACTGCATTAGTGTAGAAATGGTATAAATAATATCAGCGCACTTGTGAAAGAATATTAGACTCGCCAGTTGATGTATATTGGACGCTTGGCATGATTTGTTTACTTTTGAACTTTGGAAAAAATTGAACATTTCTGCTACTTTGAGCTCAATTTCAAGGTACTTTTCATTGTAAAACCAGTCAAAACCATCTCAATTTCTGTAATATGTCTTCCATTCTATAAAATGAGACCAAGAAAACTAGAATACAACAATAAATACCATACGAAAATACAGTGCAAAGTCGCTGTTTTAATCCAAAAACACAAAGCTTTTTTTTCTCATTACGCACTGTGTGCTGCAGGATTTTTTTTTATACTGCGCACACTGACCGCAAAGACCCATTCTTATATATGTAGGCCTACCAGCTTTCTCTCACTAGATTTGAGGGCGCTAGAATTTAGGCATACTAGTATGTCAAAAACCCTGGGTCGTAAGATGTGCTAGTACGTCCAAAACCCCCAAAGGGTTAAATTAATTGAAATGCAAGGTGGAAATAAATGGTATAAAATACCGACACAATGGCAATATAAACACAAATGCAGTATAATGTGATCCTTTATTGACTACGTTTCGCCCACACAGTGGGCTTTTTCAAGTCACAAACAGAACAGTTCTGTTTGTGACTTGAAAAAGCCCACTGTGTGGGCGAAACGTAGTCAATAAAGGATCACATTATACTGCATTTGTGTTTATATTGCCAATTGAAATGCAATTAATTTGTTCCAGCTGAATTCCTGCTCTCAGGAAGCATGACAAAATAACCAAAATATCAACTCTATGGCTTATTTTTCTGTCAGATTTCATCTATTATGACATAATAAATAATATAAATTACATAGAAACCTGATATACACTCTAGAATGAATAAAATATGTCATTATGTGGACAGCAGAGGGAGGAGGATTGTGGTTGCGAGAGTGGTCGCGCATTCTCGTTATGAAAACTTCAGAGGTGTTGTTATAAGAGAAAACGGAGTTTATGAGGCTAACTGAATTAGATCTGGTATACATACGACATAAGAAATGCAGAGCGGCATATCCTGTCAGGAGTTCATACTTTTCTTAAGAACTGCTGTGTGCAATTTTTACGTTTACCTCGTTACACTACGTATCTCCTGTGAGCTATTTCTCCGTCAGCCATGTCAACAGCAGCTTTTCCATCTTTTCATTGACAGAGGTCCGCTGCTTAGAAATTATTGTAATGCTCTTTGCTGGTGCTATAGCCTTTATAGACTCCTCCTGCTTTAGTATTGTACATATAGTAGAGGGGCTACACTTGTACTCACTCGCCAAGTCCTTAACCCTCGTACCTAGTCTGTGCTTATCAATGATTTCTTGCTTTAATTTCATGCAAATCATCCTCTTTTTCTTCTCGGCACTGTCCTTTGCACTTGCTTTCTTAGGATCCATGGTTAGAAGAAAGAAATCTGGCGAATTAACTGCACAAAACATAAGGAAATCACGAGAATTCCTTGCACCACGTGGGTAACTCCGTAAGCACATGTGCACTGGTTAGCATTGTGGTGGTGTTGTCATACTAAATTATATGCAGTACGTACATAGTATTTTTTTTTTTTTTCAACAAGTTGGCCGTCTCCCACCGAGGCAGGGTGACCCAAAAAAGAAAGAAAATCCCCAAAAAGAAAATACTTTCATCATCATTCAACACTTTCACCACACTCACACATTATCACTGCTTTTGCAGAGGTGCTCAGAATACAACAGTTTAGAAGCATATACGTATAAAGATACACAACATATCCCTCCAAACTGCCAATATCCCAAACCCCTCCTTTGAAGTGCAGGCATTGTACTTCCCATTTCCAGGACTCAAGTCCGACTATATGAAAATAACCGGTTTCCCTGAATCCCTTCACTAAATATTACCCTGCTCACACTCCAACAGATCGTCAGGTCCCAAGTATCATTTGTCTCCATTCACTCCTAACACGCTCATGCACGCTTG